GGAGAGGAAGAAGGAATGCTGTTGATTCTCCTGGAGAAGTTTGTCATGATAGCTTTCCTGATATGAACTCAGCTGTTCTCACCATCGGAGGAGCTCACTGTAACTGAAGATGGCTATAGTTCTTTTCAAAGGAGCTCTGGTCCTTACTTTGAGCATAGGTTTCTGGCTCCAGTGCAGATTCCTTAGCCTGCTGGCACAGATTCTTCATCTTGCTGGTGTAGACTTTCTAGCTTCCACCACTAAACTTTGTTCCCTCCCAGTGCAGATCCTTGATACAGATTTCCATGAGACACTGTCGTGGGCTCTAGGAACCAGTTGGACTTGTGAAGGACACTGCCACAGGATCTAGGCCCTCAGCTGGATTCTTTGGGTTTCTCATATGTGGACAGATCTCTGCACTCTTTTGCTTTTGACTCTTTGGGTGTATATTATAAAATAATCCTACAAATTTTGTGTCTTGTATTAAATCATTACCCTTGCAAGCCCTGACTACAACACATTTTTATACGCATTTTGCCAATATATTAGCATCTGTAAATTTTTAAATAAGAGTGGGATTAAGGTAAGGGTGTGCTAATTATTTAAATTCTACTTTCTCATTTTATAACTCAGATGCTAAAGATACATTTCAGATTTGTTATTAAAGGCTAAAAATAAATTACAAAACTTTTATAAACTTTAGCTTTAAAGCACCATAGACCATTCCTTGAAAATTAATTAGACTTTATAGGAAAATCTTGAATATTTTTTAACTGTAAAAACAGTATTGCTCAGATCCTGATAGTTCATACAGAAACACCCTTATCTTTCCTTTTACCAGCTATTGTTATATGTTTTGGATATTTACTTTATTGTTTCCTTAGGGAAAACATGCCTGATTTTATTCTTGAAAAATGCTTACTTCTCAGAAAGGTTACCTTTCAGTTGAAAGTGCCTGCCTGGCTAGTACAAGGTTCTGAGTTCAATTCCTGTACAAAAAAAAAAAATTTAATAAGTATACACTTGGTCTCTCAACTATTCAGTATCTTAATTTTTGCTTAAAAATCTATTCATCACAAAAAGTTTTGCTTTGTCTCATGACACTAAGAAATTATTGATAACCTTTTTATTTAAAATGATTTTTTAAATGTATGTTCTTTATAATTGTTAAAATATGTTATACAAACTTTTTTATTTTTTATTTTTTATTTTTATTTTTTTTTGGTTTTTTTGGTTTTTCTCCGGTACCAGGAACCGAACTCATGACCTTGCGCTTGCCAGGCAGGCGCTTTGCCGCTGAGCTAAATCCCCAGCCCCTACAAACTTTTTTAAAACATAAAATCATCCTTGAATCCACTACTCATATGTAATTATTTGTATACTTTTTTCTACTTTCTCTCTTTACACACACATACACATGCAAACACATTTTGAAACACAATTAATAATGTATATACAGTTTTGTATCCAGGTTTTGGGTTAAATTTTTGTTATAAGAGGTTTTAAGCCATTAAACAGTTATTTGAAAAAACTTTAAAGGTCCTATAGTATTATTATTTAATAATCCTTTTAAAAATTTTTATTTTTTATAATGTTTTTAACATTCAAAATATGGCAGGAAGTCTGGACTAGCCTAGAGCTACAACTCAGGTCTAATTTCCACATTGGTACCTTAGGAAAAAATTCTATTCCTCTTAAGAGTTCATTAGAATACAGGTGTTTTCACCAGAGCTTCCTGAATTTACAAAACTTGAACTCTGAGCAGGTATTCCCAAATGTTTGGATTATTAAAGAGTCTGTGATACAGGCTGAATACTATCCAAGCCCACTAATGCACCCGACTCCACCCAAAGTATCAGTGGAATTCATCACAAATGAAAATGGTATCAAATACGAAAAGCAAATCCTCATGTCTGGGTTTTACATCAAAGGGAAAATGGAGGCTCTGGTTGTAGCATGCTGACTGATTTCAGAATCTATTTCATAGACACACCCTGCAGCAATGGTGCATAAGTGGAAGGACTATAAACTCTGACACTTTGGTGTCTCAGAAGCTGCTGTGGCACAAACACTGACTGAGCCTACTAACAACCCTTTAACTTTCATTTCATGAAATATCTGGAGTGGGCAGATCTTTGGCAATGGAGTGTGGTAGCCGCTTTGCAATTTCACAAACATTGAACACAGCATGTTCTCAACACTCTTGGTGACAGTAAACATAGTGAAAGTGACAGTGTTATAGAAGATAAGTCCCACTGTAGGACTTGCATTGAATGACACTGACTTAGGCTCAGCTTGGATCACCATGACAGGGAAAGAAAAATCTTTTATACTCTAGGAGGCTGACATTGTTAGAATGGAAATCTTCCACACTGGATATAAATTTTATTTTCTAAGTCAAAAGCAGAGGCACCATTCCAGCTTCACTGACATCACATGCTGTGTATTTCCCACAGCGATAGTAGCAGGTAAAAAAGGGGCAATATATTTTAGGTCTTATTATTTCTCCCAAAACAGCCTGGGTCAGAAGATGAATGGAAACAAGGTAATTTGTGCCAGCTCCAAAGGCCCAGTCTTCTGGCCCACTTAGAAAAACAGCAAGAACCACTAGGACTGGCTTGTGTATGCATGTTGGTTCCCTTTTAAATATAAGGAAGATGAGGACTGAAAATTGAGGTTTAGGGTGCTGACATTTAGGTGATTATATTCATATCACTGCCTTTGTAGTCATAAATTTAAAAGGCCTGAAATATTTGGATATCATAAACTATGTTTATGCAATTGTGTGGGTTACCTTGGGCTGCTGTGCCAAAATACCACAGACTGAATGGTTTAAACAACACAAATTATTTTTCACAGTTCTGCAGGCTGGGAAGTTCAAGATCAAGGTCTGGCAGGGGTTAGCTTCTAAGGACTTGTAAATCTCTACCCTGCTGTTGTCCCTTCCTATCCTATTAGGGCACTGCTCTTTTTGATTAGGGGCCCAATCACCCTTATTCCCTTATTTAACATTTATCACCTTCTTGCAGGACTTGTCTCCACATACGGACACATTGGGGTTAGGACCTTAACACATGAAGTTTCTGGGGATGCAAACATTCAGGCCATGACAGAATTTTAAATTAAGAACATTTCCCTTTTTCTCCTGCCAGTGTCTCCAAGCCAGAACCTGAGCCAGCACTGCAGTCATACCACAGGCACTATGGCATCTGGAGTTACAGTGAATGATGAAGTCAAAAATTTTCAATGGTGTAAAAGTAAGGAAATCTTGTACACAGGAGAAGGTTATAAAAATGAAAGAAAGCAGTTCTTTTCTGTTTAAGCAATGAAAAAGACAAGTAATTGTAGAGGAAGCAAAGCAGACATTGCTAGGGGACATTGGTGGTCTTGTGGAGGACCCACGCAAATCTTTTGTGAAGCTGCTTCCTCTGAAGGATTGAAGATATGTTTTGTACAATGCCACAAAAGAAACAAAAGGACATAAGAAAGAAGGCCTAGCAGTTATATTCTGGGCTCCTGAAAGTGCATCATTAAAAAGCAAGATAATAACCCTAAAGATACTATTAAAAAGAAATTTATAGGTATTAAACAAGAGTGGCAAGCAAATGGCTTGGCTTGCTTGGATGATATTAAGGACCATTCAGCATTTGGAGAGAAATTGGAAGGTAATGTAGCAGTTTCATTTGAAAGGAAACCATTATACAATGACAGTGAAGTGCCATCCGGCTTATAAAATGCTTTCATTTCTCCAGTTCAGTGCCTTGGAATAATATTGGGTTTTGTTTTTTACCTTTCCACTGGACTCTTTGAACACAATGAATGAAAGTGGTACCATTCATTTAGGGAGCTTGTAAGTCATTGTCATTACACTGTTTAACATGGTACTGTGATGTACAACCCAAGGAATGCCTTCCCATCTTATGTTCACCCAAACAACTGGTTCTAGGCTTCCCTTGCTACAAGCACTACAATAAATGTGACTGTTAATGTGAATAGCTCAGAATACTGCAGAGGGTAAGCTAATTGCCTTGGAATTACTGCTCTCTCATCAGATGGTAAAATAGTTATACTTGTTTCCAGTTCTGTGAGGCACTCAAGAATGCATACACTTCACCTGCCTTGACAATCCTATTTTTGTGACATGGCAGCAAAGATATAACACTATGCACTAAGAGGACTTTTTTGTAATGATTTTAATCTGCTGAGAGGAATGCCAATTAAGTTTCATTAACTGAGTCTTCAGTTTATCCTAGTATCTCCGTGTTCATTCCTATTACTTTCATATCTTTCTTAAAAGAAATAGATGTTATTAATGCCTTTTTATTTTCTATTGAGTGTACGCTATTGAATACATGCAGATACCATGTGAATCTTGCAATACCAATGGTATTTTTAATATCAGCTATGATGGCAATTTCTGTATAAAACAGGCTTAAATGGAACACTGTTTTGAGATTAAACTCCCTACCCTCACAAAAATGGCCATGTTGCAAAAAAAAAAAAAAAAATGTAGCATACTAAAAACAAAAACTAAGAACTTAATGCAAGAGATTTCTTGCTTATGAAATTAATGGAAAGAAAGAAGAGGCAATTAAGAGAAGAAGGAAGCGAAGGAGAAGGGGGTAAAAGGGAAGGAAAAGGAAAAACAAACGTTTAATAATAAGAGGTGCCATAAAATGGATCATTCTGTTTATAATACTAAGAATGCCACTGTGTCACTGAAGTAGATGCCCTATGGTGAGTATTTACATAGGGTACAAATATTTCTATATTGTGGCTTATTTTTAGAGATCAATCCATAAATATTTTTATTTATTCTCATCACCAATCTCCAAATTTTTCCCTTCCAAATCCTTGTTATATGAACAAAATTCTGGTCACACATCCTAAATTGACAATGACCTGTATATGTGGTCATCTGACCTTTGAGGCATGTGGAATTTCTGGAAAGACTGCATGCAGTTCTGCAGAACTGCATCTACAATATATTTTAGAGAAAATATATTATTTTGACTCTCAAATTCCTCTTCTTATAAAGTCAGTATAGGCTGGATGAGGCAGAAAAAATAAAGCAAACTGAAAACCTCAGTGGATTCAAGCAACAACTTGCTCTTCCCACTCACGAGAGTCTGCTGTGGCTCTTCTAACAATGACTCGGGGTACAGTCTATTTCTCATTGCACTTTGGACTAATGCTGTGTGGTTTGGGTCACAGTGACTTTCTATCTTCAGCGTAAACTATCAGTATTTTCTTTTTAATCTCAACCTATGAATTCCTGATCATCAAGCTGGAGGAAGAGAAAGAAAAACAGCCAAGAAAAAAAGGGCACAGGTAGTATTGTATTCCAAGAATCATGCCCCCGTCAACGCAATTTTAAGTGCCATGGAACACTGGAGACTTAGAGCTGCATGAAAAAGAAAAAGGCGGAGGACATTTCTTCCCCTGGCTTTCCCACTGGTTTACCGCTTGGCACCTCATCGTGGATGTGCTCTCTCCTAAGCTTCCAGTTCAGTTACGGTGAGGGAGCGATGGCACCCAAGACGGTGCCAAGGAAAGAGCAGCTCTTGTCATGCAACAGTTCCCGCAGTGAGTCACAGGGCAATGTGCGGTGCCTGACTTATAACACACCCGAGAGTGCGAACGCTGACGCTATTATTTCCATTCTTATCCCAAATGCCAGGCCGGCCGAGCCTGTGCCAAGACGCAGACCGAGCGTGCGAGACATGCCGCCCCGAGGAGCCCCGGGAGCCCCGGCCGTCGGCGAGGCGCGCAGCTGCGTCCCCGCCGCTCCTCGGGAGGCCGGGGCTCGCTCGTCCGGGGAGCCGAGGCTTCACCGAGCTCCTCTGGCTGCCCTGTTTACACTTTTTTTGAAGGGCTCTGGCCGTGTGGCCCACATCGTGAGCCCGGGAGCTCCAGACTCAAGAGGTCCTGCACCGCGGCCTCTTGAGCAGCCGGGAACATCGGCGTGCGGCTCTCGGGAGCTTTTCTGGAGACAAGCAAGCGCCCCTC